ATTAATTTTTTTTTTTTTTTTTTTGCCTGACTGGGAGTGGGGAAAAGCAATTCTAATCCAAAATTAACCTCTATTAACCTTCAGTAACATATTCAATAACTTGAATATGTCAGCACCTCATATCCTATCATGTTTAAGTTGTATACCAATTTACTTCAAAGAATGTAATTGGATGTAATAGAGATCATAAAAGCCACAAACTATTTCAGGTGAATATAGAAGATGAATTTAACCATATAAATTTGTGAGAGCAAAAACATTTTTGTACTTCATCATAAATTCAGTATCTCACTTCATTTTTCTGTACTCATTGATAACCTCAAATGACCTACAAAATCAACACCACAAACCCTATGTTGCAATTAGTATATTGTAAGAGTTTTCATGTTAAGAATAAGATCAATAGATGACCTTGTTTAAATGTAATCATATCATGGAGATACTCACACATGCTTCTAACATTACTATTGGCAGACCTGATGGAAGTGCTAAGTAGATAAGGTGGTTAAAAGTAAAATGGATATAAAAAATGTGTTATAATTATTTTTCATCTTAATGCCTGACAAAAATATAAAGAATTTATCTGATTGTAACTAACTTATCAATTATGAATGGATGCTGAAAAATTCTCAGCCCAACGAAGAAGAGATTTTAAAAAAAAAATCTGTTTGCTCAGATTTGGAAAAATGGGTCAGGTGAAATAATTTTGAGCACTATTTTGCAAATTATTAGCTTATAATATAGCTGCATAATATCCTCTTAGATAAAACTCAAAACAATGTCAATAAGTAATTTTGTATTTAACCTTGAAAAATAAAATTACTTATTTGAATTTCTGATAAGAACTATTGTTACAATTCAATTATTTTTTGTGCTATTATCTTTGGTTTTTTTATGTTTCAGAGTTTACATTGACTTTTTCTCCAATTTTTATTTTATTTTTTTTAGAACTTAGAGCTTATATTTGGTGTAAGATATGACTTTTTTTTTTAATCAACAGATTTTTAACATCTGCATATCTTGTTTATATGACCAATTTTTGATGATAAACTAATTATCAAATGTAGCTAAATCTTTTTATATTTCCATTTATTTTTAAACAACTAAATAAAAGCATATTTTAAAACAAGAATTATTATGCACTAATTTAGGTGAGGAGAGAGAAGAATAACTAGCAGTTAATTAATAATTTGGTATATCCACATACATATTTTTTTACCCATTGATAATGTAATTGTAATAATATTAGCTTAATTTTTATGCCAATCATGTGAGAAGCTTTTAAAGATTCAGCAGTTAAACTTTGTTGTGAAATAAGTATGATATCTATCTGATAGCATATACTGCCACACCAATTTGCATATAATATTGGAGTATTGTAAAGTTAGAAAAAATACTTTAACATTGTATATAAGACCTAGAGAAAGATCTCTTGAGCTACATTTTGTGTGTGTGTGTGAAAGGTAGGGGCAAAAGGGACATACAGTAGTCTGTGCTTAAATAAATATAACTTGTTATACTATATATATTAATATTTTATCAAGAACTGAAGTTTTTGAAAAATCTTGTAATGTATAACAGGTGAGTGACTTCTTTTAAATGTAGCATTTCACTCTCTTTCAACCATGAACAAAAGAAAACAGTTATGTGCCAGAAAAAACATTTAGTGCTTATATGCAGCATGGATTATAAATTTCTCAAGTTCTAGTAATATGTCATCAGTTTATCTTTGTACATTTCTATATAGGTATTTATCAATAATTGAAAATATTGATTTCTATTGATAATAATTTGTAGGCTGAATTATAGATGATATAGCTTGAAATAGAAACCAGTTATGAAAAATAATGTATCTAATATGAGTGTAATCTTTTATATTACAAATTCTAAATAGAGATCTTTTAACAACCTCTGCTAACAAAAATATAACATTTTTTGTATAGATAGGATTGAAATATTTTAAAATATATGCAAAAAATGATTTGTAACTAGGAATTCTTTGAATATATTTTGCAGTAAAATAATTGAAATTATTCATATCTTTAGAATCACATTTAACAGTGGAATGAAAGCAAAAAGCTGAAAAAGCTAACACATATATTTGGAATTAAAATGTTGATTATACTTTGTGCCTCAAAAAACAAGTAAACTTCACAGTTTGTAAATTCACTTAATTGAATTTTAATATATCATGTGTATTTCTATCTAATTTTTTTGTTGTAATAAAGCAAACATATTCAGTATAAACTATTAATTTTTCAAATGAAATATAATTCAGACAAACATAGACTTATGTTATTTTTTTTTTAATACAGTGCTAATTGTTTTCAAACAGAGCTAATACCATATATAGTGTAAATATTACATTCTGGATTTTATTAAAAATGTACCAAACACACTTGTAACTAAAAGTTCTGCAGTAATAGACTGATCGTCAGACACTTGATTTATTACTGTGAAACTTTTAGCTACATACATGTTTGATGCATTTTTAATAAGATCCAGAATGTGTGTTTAAACTGCTAAATTTCTAATAATTGCAAGCAAAACCTCCACTCTAAGCTGATAATTAGAAATCTACAATAGTTTAAAGTGGCTAAAGATTTTTGCAGAATACTGCAATATAGCAAATGAATTCTTTCATGATTTGAACATTCAACCTAGAGGTAGCCAGCCACTACACTAGCATTCTTCTACTTGAGCAGTATAGTAAAATTAACTTGCAAAGTGCACAAATTCGTGATAGTGTATATACAGAGGTTCTGTATATAAATTGTCTTTTGTGTTTGTATATACAGAGGATGAGTAAAATAATTAAAAAAAAGAAATCATTAAAAAAAATAGGCCAGTCTAGATATTGCTTGTCATAATTCTTATGAAGAATGAATTTTTATCACTGTTTTGAGTAATTTTTTTTTTTTTTTCATCTATCCTGCATTACAACACTTGGGTCATTTTTATATTCTAACCATTAAGTAAGTAAGCTAAATCAGAATTAAAGAACTAGAAATCTGAGCATTGCAATAAAATGCATCAATAAAGATGAAAAGAAAAGCTATTAAAGGATTGGTAATAGCAATATTTCATAAAATGAAATATTGGACAACTTCAGACTATTATGACAAATTTTCTTCTGTTGGTCAGAATATAGAACTTAAATAGAACCAGTCATGTGTGAAAATAAATGAAAAAAATCTTTACAAATGATAATTTTGTTCTAGAGAGAGGAAGAAAATACAAGCTTTATTAAGAAGAGAGGATAAAGTCTACTAAATGATATACTTATAATATTTGTTTTAAAACAAGCAATTCCAAGACCAAAAGGATTAAGAGACCTTAATAATTATATTCATTGATTTGGCATCTATTTGGTAATAATTTTAATCCTTTTTTTTTTTTTATTATATTAAAAAATGAAAGAGGAGTTGGATTGATATTAGACTAAGATATGAGGAAAAGCATTCTAGGATGCTATCAATTATCTGAAAGAATTGTTGTTAAACTGAAGGAGAAGTCTTTCAACATAGTCAGCATAGTCGTGTATGCACAGACATCACAAAGTATAGAAGCAATTGGAAAAAAAAAGCTACATGTATGACCATATGCTTTTTTTTTATAAAGAAAGGAAAAATGACTGAAATTCAAAAAAGGTTTTTGCAATTTATGAAGAAGGTACTCTGAATAATTGAATATATTAAAAGTGGGTTGCAAAGTTCCATCCTTCTCTCAGTACAATACTCCATGCCAGGTCAATCACTTGAGGCTGATAGCACTCAAATCATAATGCCATATCATGTACGAAATATTCAAGAAACTCAAAATATCCAAATCAAGCATTCAAAATCATTTGCACCAGTTAGCTTTGATGTGCAGATTCAACAAGTTAAGCAAAAAATGAAGCTGTTTCATGACTTATATATATATATATATATATATATATAATGATCATGGTGCAAGCAAAATGAGCCCTCATGACACATACCAAATAGGTTGGTCTTCATCAAAATATGGTGATGTGTAGAAATGGAAAGGACTATTTTGGGAGTTCTTTCCAAAGAAGCAAATGATTTGAGCAAATATTGCTTCACATTAGACAATTCATATCAGAAATTAGTCAACAGAATAATGCTAAACTTTTTTCTTTGGGAAAAAAAAAAATTTAACTTTGGCCAGGAAGTTTTGACTCATCAACAGCATTCACAAGAGATTACCACTTACAGAGTTTTTTTTTATTTTAGTGAAAATTTTCCATCATCATGAAGGTACTTAGGATAGTTTTTTTTTTGCTGAGAAAGATAGTGTTTTGAGAGGATGGAATTATGAAGTTGCCTGAAAGATAGAAGATAGTGGGGCAGAATTGTAAATATGTTATTCATCAAAATTGATGTTGGACATTAAAAAATGTATATCTTTAAATTTCATTTAATAAACTGAACAGACTCTCTTATCAACCGAGTATATTATTTTTATGTGCTTTTTTTTTCTGAAGTGTTATTTATTTTCAGTCTTTGTTTGAGATTGACTTACATTTTCAGTAATAGCCAATGGACTAGGACTAGTAGATTAACTAGTGTAAATGAGATTTAATTCATTCTTTTATGGGGAAAATGATCATATCTGTCTTAGTACACAAAGAGAATACCAAATTTGTAAGTGATAAATAATAATTGTATTTTTGATTTCATTATACAAATTTATTCATTCACTGAAGCATATTTTGAATCCAAATTAAAATATTGTATTGAACTGAGAATTTTGACTTTTCAGTTGAATTTTTTATATTGTATGAGGTTTTATTTCAATTTTTGTTCTATATATAGATTTTTATTTTTTTATAAAAATTTCAGATAATTTAATCAAGGAAATTATAGTACTTTGTGCAATGTTTCATTGAAATATTCATTTAGTAATATATTGAATTAAGGAGTCAACTATTTAAAATTTTCTTTTCTTTTTAATTTTTTAAAATGTATTAATGTGTAATTTTATTGTTTTATCAGATGACCTCAACTAAACCATATTTGAGAAAGAAAGCAGTTCTCATCATGTACAAAGTATTTCTTCAATTTCCTGAGGCCCTCCGACCAGCTTTTCCTCGATTAAAAGAAAAGCTAGAAGACCCTGATCCAGGTAAGTTGGCAACTGTTGGTGAAATTTTCAGAATACACTTAAGTTTAAATGAGCAATATATCATTTGTCCTCCTGCTTCAGAGTACTAGAGAATCTACCAGGATTTCTTGAAATATTGATTACTTTTGCACATTTTTTTATGTAATGGAAATTCATAAGTTATAAGAATATTTCTGGTATGGTATATTAAATTAGATGTTAACAGAAATTGTTTTATCTGTATTTTTTTTTAATTCTGTTGAATTTTGTAAAATAAAAAAGAATTGATGAAATAATCTGAAAATTCTGTAATATTGCTGTGGTTGATTGATAAAAGTGGCAGTACATGTATTCTTTAAAATAAGGGAAATGGGTTTGATTTTTATCAGATGTCAACTTTAGACTAATTTATGATATTAAAACTTTAAATGCTTTTGAAAAAAATCAGAATTTTCTAAAATTATTCAATTTAAAAACATTTTTAGAAAACAAAATCGTTTTATATTTATTTAATTTTAGGAGTATTATTTTTTAAGAATATCTTGTTTGAAACTCATGCTGTTTATCTTAATTTAAATTTAAATAAACCCTTGAATTAAGTATACTATAGTATTAAGTTGTCTGAATTTCTAAGATGTTGTTATTAAATTTTTATTTCTTTTTTTCATCTTTTTTTTTTTATGATTTTTATCATAAAGAATAAATTGTTTCTACATTCTATAACTTTTAAACAAAATGAATCAGGAATAAAGAATATGCTTACAGCTGGATATAATTATATGACTAATTTTGAATGACATTTGCAGGTTAGATTTTGTAAATCAATCCATAAAGTGGCATTCTTTAGCCATAAATGAGCAGTAAAAATAAGATGAAAGAAGAAATAGTGCAAGTTAATAAATTTTTTACTATTAAGAAAAATTTTTTCGTAATTTTTTTTTAAATACTGGAAAAGCCTTATATCTCGATGAAAATTTTATATAAAGGAAATTAACAAAAAATATTGCTGCTAATTTTCCTGTCTATTTGTTTAGTGGAAACATTTGAATACTGATTGTCTAAGTGTTTTTATTTTCATTAATGTTTACTCAAATACTTGCAAAAGTTACTGTTTACTGGATCTTTTTGAATTGCAGAATGGCCGACTCATTGTTTAACACATAATGCTACAAATATTTTGTTACTGAAGCTTTTTAATTTAAATATTTTTGAGTTAATTTATTTGTTTGCCTATTTTTATTTTCTGCTAGATCACAATTTTTGTAAATTTTTAAATATTAAAATTGTTTTTTTTTTTTTTTTTTTATAGTCGTGTTTAAGAACTGAAATTAAATATTGTACATTTTTCTTTTAAATAAATATTTATCAATTTTAAAATATATTTGATTAATGTATGAAAGTCTGGCATTTCTCTATTTAATTGCTGGAATATTTTAATGCTTTGATCTTTATTTTTTTTATGTATCAAAATAAAAAGTTCATTTATATTATTTAAATTCTCTCAATATCACTTTATGCCACTTATATAATTCAAAGTGCTTATTTAAGCAGTTATTTACTACTTGAAAGTGATTTGAAACCATTTTTATTTGGTATTCTTAGTAAAAATCTTGATATGTTTTCTTCCTTTCATGTGTAAAAATGTTATGAATTTGTAACATTTCTATATATATCAGAGCAAAAGAATTTTAACAGTTTTCATTAGAATATATTTCAACATTTGCAAAAATTTGCTTTCTCTCTACATATAGACGAGATGTTACATAGGTCAGAATGTATCTATAGCTTTTTGTATTTTATGGATTTATTTAAACAAGTTGCTTGGAACCAACTTTTGTAAATCTTCTCACAATTGATGTTTCAGTGAGTGTTGTATTGTTTTAGTTAGTTAATACAGCTTAGATATTTCTGTTACATTTTGTTTGAGACTTGTGTATTTTATTTAGTTTTTGAAAAATCCAAGTATTATTTTCATTGATCAGCTTTTTAAATTAGTTCTCTCATTATGTTCTTTAGTCATATTCCAAAATTAGATCCAGAAGACAGTATATTTTACTGAGACAATACAATTGCAGTCAAAATTTGTAAATTTTAGGATTATTTGGATTTTGTAAATTTAATGTACACACATTGTATTTGACATGACGTAATATACATAGTCAAATCTTATATTTTAATAGTATTCTATTTTGTTACCATCATTATTATAAAACCACATGTTTGTTGCTTTGCATTTTTAATTATCTGGCAACCTTTTTAAATGTTTTATATCTTATATGAAATATTCATGCATGTGTCTGATTTAATTTACAAGTACCAATGCTGCTTATTTCAATCAAAATGGAACAAGCTTATGGATTCAAATTAATTTGATGTGGAAGCCTTAGTGATTTTCTTTATATATATATATATATATATATATATATATATATAAATATTTTGATGCATACATTCACTATTACTATAAACTATATTTTAGTGTGTAAGTTTGTTTGATTTTCTATCCGTTTTTATTTTATTAAATAGTGAAATTAACAACTGGCTCTGTGGCTAAACTGGTAAAGGTACACTTTGGTACAAAAGGGGATTTCCCTGAGAAAAAAAAGGAATACAGGTTTGATTCCTGTTGGAAGCACAGTATTTCTTTAGTAGGATTTCTCATTTTAGGCTGTTTGTTATTAATTTCACTGTTTAATAAAATAAAAATCAGAGATAGCAACTCCAACACATGTATCCACTAAAAATAACATTTATAGTAATAAGAAATAATGTTGGATTAAAAAATCCTTTCACTATAAGGAAATTAATTTTAGCTTTCTTTTTATGCTTTTGTTTTTACATAAGTGCATCATAATTTAAAGATATTCTGTCGTTCACCAGATTTGTTTCATGGTGTGCTTGTTGATTATTTTTGAAAACTTTATTTTATTGTATTTTTTCCTCATTCATCTATTACTCAGGTGTTCAGTCTGCTGCTGTCAATGTTATCTGTGAACTAGCAAGGAAAAACCCAAAGAATTATCTTTCTTTAGCGCCTCTCTTCTTCAAACTGATGACCAGTTCTACTAATAACTGGGTGCTCATCAAAATAATCAAATTGGTAAGTTCTATTTCAGTCAATATAAATCAATAATTTTTGTTTTTTGTAAAAATAAAAGAAAAAAAAGAAACAAAATACAGAAAAATTTATATATAATTTTTATGAAGTAATCTAAAATGTATTTCAGATTTATTTTTAGAATATCTAAAAAGAAAATAAAACTGAGAATGATGTATTTTCAATTTCACGAGTAACACTTTCCATAATTTCAAAGATTTTTCACCATTATTTATCTTGTGTAATATTTGTTATTGTAGGTGTATTTTTAACAAAACAAGTCTCAAAGTAATACCTAAGGGTGTTCACATCATAAATACTTTATTCTGTTCTCTAAAGTGTTTCACTTATAGTACAGTTCATTTATTGATATAATATTGCTATGCCTTCCTACCTTCGTCAGGTGCATGCCAATCTGAGTAACCTACAGGGAATTTCAAACTGAACTACTTATTTAATCTATAGGGGTAGATTTTTCTTGTGCTATTGCCCATGTCAGAAAATGTTTCTGGTCACAATTCTGCGTTACAGTTTTTTAAAATCTGGCACAAGGTTGTTGGTAGAATCTCTCATCACTGCATTTGTGTCTGGCACCATGGACCTGTTCTTGGACTTATTTAGCTTCATGCAGGAAAAACTCTGCTCACCAATGTAAGTGGAACCAAAAATAGAGAATAATCTGGCAGCAAAATTTCTTAAATATGGAAAGCATTGAATAGAGCGTGACTTGTAAAACTCTACTAATGGTTGGGAGTGAAACATTTCCTTCAATGTATGATCAAATTGAATATCTATCGATTCAAGATGTAATTCATCAGGTGCCACATCAACATCAGCAGAGAAAGAAGTTAATAAGCTGAACTTAAGCTCAATCTGTCTGAAATCCTCAAACTTTCTATAAACTCTTCAGTCAAACTTTTCAACTGATCCTTAATTTTTGAGCACACATTTGCAGGCACTTTCTCCTTTCCCAACAATGAAAAATGTACGAACTTGCTCTCATTTACATGCCTTGAAAACATAGATAATTTTACTTAAAAAGATTTGATGAGCCAAAAGTTCCTTTCCCTGCAATTTCACATTTAGCTCATTCAACTTTTCAAAAACATCAGCTTGTTCATATTTCCACTCATCACGGTCCATTTTTATAACAAATTCACAAGCAGTCTCTTTCATATCAAGAAAGAGCAAAATTTCTTAAGTCCCACACTCGCTTCAGCACTTTGCCAAGACTGAACCATCATACATTGTTGTGGTAGGAACATCTCCATGCTCAGCCTCCATATCCTCCAGTAGGGATTTGAATTGTCTGTGATTGAGTGCTCTTGCCTTGATGGTGATTAGTACACTCACCACTGGATCCACCACATGCTTCAGATTGTGCAGATTACACAGATTTTCTTGGTGCAAAATACAATGGAAAGACCAGAAGGCTTGGTTAGGATTGTCTTTTCTAATCTTGTCTTCTAGGAGTTTAGCCATGCCCACATTTTTCTCATGTAATGCCCAGGTACTATCTGTTATTATGTTTGTCAGTCTATCCCGTGATAATGCACTTTTTTCAATTGCATTAATCACACGTCCTGACCAGTTGTTGTATTTTTCATCAATTTTAGTGACAGCAATTCTTCAGTGATATGGAAATTCTCATCCACTCCACATACGAAAGGATGTTGGTACTCTTATCTAGTGCTAATAAATAACATACAAAATCTTTACTTTGAGTCAACTCTTTACTGATTATTTCTATGCATCACACAACAGTCCTCCTCAATAATGAAATGTTTTCAAATTTACCTTTCATTTCCAGACACACAACACTTGCGCAATCTATCATATGTTGTTTTATTAACTTGCCAACTGAGAATGATTTGTTATGTCTTGAAATTAGATATGCCACCATAAAACTTGCTTCCAATGCAGTATCATGAATTGATGATTACTTCTTAAATAGTTTGTTGCTTGTTCAATTTTGCAATATATTCCACAGCCTTTTTCTTCTGTTCCTCATTGGTCATGTTGTGACCAATATCCCCATGTGTTTGGTAGTGCCATTTTAAATTATACTCCTTTAACACAGCAATTGTCTCCTGGCGCAGTAAACAGACTGCTTTATTCTTAGAACTGGTGAAGAAATACTTGTGTATCTGCAGTTTGCCCACCCCTGTACTAGGCTATTGTCCTGTGGGACAATTTTGTGTAGATTCTCAAACCTAAACTGCCTGCTGATGAGTGTTGCTGTTTGTCAAGATTGACTGCACTCATCAAAGTTTCTCTTTTGTTTCACCCGCTACTAAGCAAATACCAAATTATTTATCTAATAAAAAAAAAAACAACAAATGACAAAAGGTCTTAAACAGCAGTGGAATGAGAACAGTTTACCTCTGTAGCTTAAATAAAGGATTCAGTTTGAAATTCCCTGTAGGTTACTTGGATTGACATGATGGATGTCCAAGTTTTCATAATAGAAGTTGGAGGGCACAAAATAACGACAAAGATGACAACTATAGTCCACATGTAAATAGTGTAAATAACTATTCTTATTTTTCTCCATCTTACAGCTAGTGTTATGCAAATATGATTTACTCTTTAAGTGTTTTTTTAATTATGCTAGAAGCTGCGGTAACTCATTGATTTAGGAAAATTGATTATGTAATAACTATATTTTATTACTAAGTATATTATTTTATTTTTTTAACTTTTTTTTTTCTTTTTTATAACTAAATATTGTAAAAATTTCATTCATTCTTTGTGAAAAATCTACCATATCAGTTTTCTATAAGCATATATTAGCAGATTGATCAGTAAATTGTTAAATACTGTTATATTTTTACTGTTTAATTTGTCATTTTGTCTAATTTTTAGATTTTATTTTTTCTTTTCTTTTACAGTTTGGTGCCCTCACCCCTCTTGAGCCACGGCTGGGAAAGAAACTCATTGAACCTCTTACAAATCTGATTCACAGGTAAGACATTAATTATAAAATATATTTAAGCATATTAGCTCAAGTGAATTATTTCGTTGATTCATTTAGTTTATTTTTCACTTGTAAACCCTCTTCTTTAAATATTTAACATGCATTATTGAATTACAAATAAAATAATTGTAATATATATATATATATATATATATATATATATATATATATAAAATAAAAATGAAGTTGAAAAGAGCTATTAGGTAAGGTCATGTAGACTCATTCCCAGAAGATATTCAGTTTGAGCTTGTATGTAACATCTGCGAGAAGGTTGTTCTATCTCGTGCCGGATTTGCTAGTGATCTAAGATCACATGAAAATTAGCAATCTCATACTGTGTATGTGGATGTCCTTCTTGACAGACCTGTTGGGTACTTATGTGAATTTAATGAGAAAATTTACAGGTTTGCAGCCAGGTTGAGATAGCACATGAAAGTGCACAAAAAGAGTCACTTTCAAGATCCCAAAAGCCTTTTCTGTGTCACATATGTAAAAAGGTGTGCTGGTTTGGCAAGTCATCTGCAGGCCCATGGCCACTCAGCTCATTGTTGAAGAGAGGGCCTTATTCTGTAAAGTGGCAGAAGAAAGGGCCTTATTCTGTAAAGTGGCAGAAGAGAGGGCCTTATTCTGTAAAGTGTACAAATTTTATTTTTAATTAAAAAAATTTTTTTTCTCCACATGAAAATGAACATTTTTTTTTTATTGCCAGTAGCCTATAAAGAACTGTTAGGCCAGATATCTTTAATTTGTAATTGACCATTGCTATAAGTGTGAAACTCAGTATAGCATATAGTAGTTATGTTGTTAACTGGGGCAAGGAATGGCTTGTTAATTCTAATGACTCCAAAATGAAACTGCTCTCTTGTAATTGTCTGAAAGAACCCTTTTTGCCTCCCATCTGAATGGCTGATGCTAACCTCCAGGAGATTGACTCATTGCTCCTTCTTAAACTAACATTTTCCACTGACATCAAATGGAAAGATTATATTGAATCAATTGATAGGTCTGCTGCTAGGAAAGTCAGTTTACTGTGTCATGTTAGGCAATTTTTCTTGCCAGAATCCATCTTACACATTTATAAGTCTCGATGCATTGAATATTGCTGCCACATCTGGTCTGGTGTGATGTATTTAAAGATTCTTGATAAAATCCCAAGAATCTACAATGTTATTGCTCCTGACCTGGCATCTCTGCTTCAGTCACTTTCCCACTGCCAAAATATAGCTTCCCTGTGCCTTTGCTATAAATATTTTCATGGTAATTGTTCTGATAAACTTTCCTATATGGTACCTAGATTTCATGAATCCAAGAACAGTACTCAATTGGTGACAAGGTCACATCACTTTACAGTTGAAATAGCTATATATAACCCTAAAATATTTACTGGCAGTTTCTTCTATTGCACTTCTTGCTTGTGGAACTCGCTTCTTGCTTTCTGGTCAAGTTTGATCTTTAAAAATTTAAATGCAATGTCAATTGTTATCTTCTGTCTTAATTCCTGTTCTTTTATTTTTCTTGTTCTTTAATATTGTTTTTTTTCCTCATATGCTCTGGTACTTCATTTTAATTTTTCAAATTCAAGCTAAATGTTTGCTTATAATATTTTTTTTAGTTAATTTGAATTTATATTAAAAATCCTGTTTCATTGTTATGTTATAAAATCACTACAAAAATAGCCATTTTGTTTCAACACTTCTGGTATCTTATCAAGCGATGGTGTTGAATATAGAATAATGGATTTTAAAAGGTTCAAATCAATCAAACACCCCTCACGAGGGGAAATGCTGTTACATAAGCTGGAATGACCAATCAAAATACAAGTATATGAGAATTCTAAAAACTTGACTATGAACCTTGGTTATAATAAATTAATGCTTTAATGTTAATTAATGCTTTTAGAGACTAAAATGGAATTTATTCTAACTAATCAATATTAAATTTTACTATAAAATTCAAAATTACTAATTACAATTATAAAATTATTTAAAGAAGAAACTGAGGAAAAAATACATGTTTTGTTATTTATTTTCTTTTTATTGAAAAGCCAAAAATTAAGTTAGAATAAACGTTAAAATCTAATGTTGCTCTGAGCTCCGTTACAACTTTGATACATTTGAAGTGAAGATGTGGGCAGGGGAGGGTGAAATCTTGCAGAAGACAATACATAGACAATCAGATTATAATACACAAAAACGGAGACATCTTTAGATATATAAACACACAAAAAAGCAACGAAACAGGAAATAGGTATCAACGACCATTAAAGAAATAGGGACAATATATACATACAATGACAAGGCACATATAAGTGATTATACACACATACATTCATAAAGACACGCACATATACACACCAAGAAATATTCAAATTTGAAAGTGTTAGTAAACGAATTCAAGCATACAATTATAACTTATACAGGCAAAGATATATAGATAAAAATGGTTGAATAGATAAAATTTAATATGGGTAGAATAGAAAAACAAATATTCGTCAATGAACAACATCAGGAAAAAGGACACTAAAATATATAGAAATGCATAGAAAAATAAATATATAAACATACACAAATAAGAAAAAAACAAATTCAAATGTCCAGGGAAAATGGAACACTTAAAAATAACACTATCTAATATATAAAAAAGAAAACTCCTAAACACACAAATATATATAAATATCTTGTATATACTTATATACACATTAGTACAAATGTATAAAAGATATGTGAAAAAAATAAAAAATACATACAGACGTATGTATACACACATTCTTCACTACAGATAGAAACATACAAAAGTATACCTATGCACATACATATACATACATATATACCATATACATATATATATATATATATATATACATACATAAAATAAATATAAATATATCAACCTACACAGCGACATAAAAAATAGTAAATAATATATATATATATATATATATATATACACACACACACAGACATATACATACATATATATATACACACACACACATATACATATAAACAGATATATACATACACACACACACACACATATATATATATATATATGCACATCTACATACATAAGCCTACACATATACTAACAATATTATCCAAATGACAAAGGACCATAAAGTCCATAAAAGATTAAAATGTAACAAAACACAACTGTTGATTATTAGATCTACAAGCAATTATAAAATCGTTATCAAACAAAAGTAGATTTTAGTTAGCATTGATGATACATTCCAAAGCACTAAGATATACAAATGTATATGCAAAGATATACACACATACACCCATATTTTTGTAATGATCTTATAACATACTAGCAGTAGAGCCCGGCGTTGCCCGGGGATATAACAGTAAGAGATAGATCAAGTATCCACCATCATAAAGACTGAAAAATAAAATTGACAAAGATTATTGTTTAAGGTTGACGAACACACATGTCTTAATTAGTTTTTTTTTTCTTTCTTTTTTTTTACGAATTGGTCAAACCCAAACTCAAACAAAAACATTGTTTTCAATCGTTATGAGTCTCTACCGATTGAATAGAATTTTATTATAAACAATTGTCTTGTAAATGGAATTTTTAAAGCATTCTGAATATGCCAAAAACAAAAGTGAAGTTTTGTTGAAATTGGTTGAAAAATGTAGGTAGCCTTTCTGTAATCTTTTAGTTTTACAATCTATGATTTTTACTTATTGAATACAGTAAAAAAAAATGCATATTTTGCTTGTGGCGATTCATAATTAGAATTTTTTTTTTTTTTTTTTAATTGGTCAAACAAAAACATTGTTTTCAATCGTTATGAGTCTCCCGATTGAATAGAATTTTATTATAAATAATTGTCTTGTAAATGGGATTTTTAAAGCATTCTGAATATTAAAAATAAAGAAAAAAGTGTGCAAGAGAATAAGAAACACTACCTGCCAAAAAGAAAAAAAGTGAAGTTTTGTTTTATCGGCTGAGAAATATAGGAAATCCGATCCCATATTTAAAGGAACCCACACACACAAATAACCCGATGTGAGTTGTCCCCGTTCCATTTTCCCGATGTCTCTTAATCGTGTTTTCAAATTGATTTTGTGCAAAAACAATTATATTTTTCCCATTTTTGGCGCTGTTAGAACCACCACAAGGTAATTTTATGTAGTCCTGTGAAGTTTTGTTGAAATCGGTTGAAAAATGTAGGAAATCCAATCCAATATATAAACGTTACACACACACACACACACACAATCTGTGTTTTATAATAAGTAAGATTTATGTTATAATTTTTGAATAAATAATTATATTTGCTCTACTCTGTATTGAGCACTCTTGTAAGAATGGTATTTTTTGGTTATTGGAATTTATTCCGTATACACCAATCCTATACTTGGGTGTGTGTGTGTGCGCGTATACATATTTTTTTAATTTACATTTCATACCTACTTTAATTGAGGTAATTGTGAGTTAAATTTTCTGCAAGCTCCTCCTCACTATGAATTTAAAATGCTTAACATGTAAATTAAAGTTACAATTGTAAAGCAGACTTTTAAAACAATATTTATAGTTTTACATTTTAAATACTTTATATCATATTTAAAATACTTTGTGTGTTTTTTTTTTTTGTAATCTGATAGAGCCTTTTAGAGTAATTGTGAATAAACAATAATAAAAAAAATTCCATTATGTTTATAAGTTCATTTATTATATATTTAATTTAAATTTGAATTATGTTTCATGAGCAGAATTGTTTTTAATACTTTCTCCTTTCTCTTTGCAGTACATCAGCAATGTCGCTCCTTTATGAGTGCATTAATACGGTGATAGCAGGTAGGCTTTACTTTTTGAACAAAAGCCATGTAAAATATATTTTTACATTTCAGAAAATATGCACACAGGTATTTTTATACATCATATATTGTAAAGTCCTTGTGATATTGGACAATATTTCAATCTTATATTCATTTACTCTTTATGGTAAGCTAAATTTAAGTAAATAATATTCACAAACTGTTAATTTAATATCAATTCCATTGTTAGAAAGGTTATTTTTACATTTAATTAAATGAATACATAAATCTATTCATTGACTTTTGTATATAAGTCTTTTAGAAAGTGTTTTCTTTGTATTGTATTTCTATGAGTTTTCTATTACTGGTTAAAATCATTTCAAGTGAATTTACTTTAAAAGCATAAAGTTATTATTTTTTTTAGCTTCTATTATTATCTTATTAGATTTATGCAAACTTTTTGGGTTAGTGAAAACTATCACATTTTGGTATTTAAAGAATTAATTGAGGCTCTGGAATGCCCCTTCTCTTGATCAGTGGAAATCATTAAAGTTTTGCTGTGTAATATAGAAAATAATAATAAGCAAATGAAATACAAAACTATAACATTTTACTAAAGTAATGTATCATATTTCTTTCTTTCTTTTTTTTTTTTTTTTTTTTTTTTTTTGTGAATAATTTACCTTGCTATATATAATGACACTTATTTAGAATACAAAAAAATTACCTTGTTAAAAATGAAATTATCAATATTTTTTTTATATCCATTATTGATCTTACAGCCTAATAACATCTTTAAAAATCTAAATTATCAATTCTCATTACTCAACAGATTTTTAATATTAATGAAAAATACATTTTATAAATTCCTCCAAACATAAAATAAATTTTTCTTTTTAATTAACTATTCAAATAAATGCTTTTAAAATTGTAAATAAGATAATTTTAAAATCATTTCGTTGAACTTTCTATTGATTTCTCTAACTGCATCAGATTGTTTCTCAACTCACTAATAATGAACTAAATTGTGTAATTTTGAAAGCATAAATGCCAGAATATCTATAAACAATATTGATAGTTGTTTTATGTTTAATTTATTTTTATTTTTATTTTTTAAAATAAATGAATTTTATTTTTCTATTTTAATTTTTTTCTTATTTCAGTATTTTAATAAACATACAATGAAAAACATCACCTCTTTATAATCTTTTGAATTTAACTGTGCAAAAATGGCTCATAAGACTTCACAAAATTTTTAGCATCTTGTCTATATTATATCATTTTTCAGATTAAAACTTTTGTTCAAGATAAATTATAAGTTCTGAATTTGCAATATTTTATTAACAGTTAAAGTTGCTTGCTACTAACACTTGAATATTGTACCTATAGTACTATAATGCACATTTAATGTTTGTTATTAGATATGGATGATATAAACATATAGTAAAAAAATATTAAAAATAATATTTTTATTGTTTATGACATTTATTCATAAGTAGTCATATTAATATTTAACAATGTCATTAGCTTGTCTATTTTTTATAATGAACCTTATTTTAACATATTGCTTGAGCTAGATTTTAATTTGAAGATTGCGACATTAAGATTTTAAGTTTATTCAGGCTAATATTGTTGTTGTCCCTACTTTTAAATGCTCCAATTAAAACTAAGATAATCTGGTTACTTGTAAAATATTGTCGAAAGATGATTGAGCACTATTCCAATCAAAATGTTATATTAAAAGCATATTTATGAACTCATAATATTAACATAGAAATTGTAAACTTACACAAATATCAGTCAAATAAAACCTACATTACAAAAAATTAGTGTTATTATATATTGGCAGTTAATGTTTTTGTAATTCTGTGTAATTTTGTATTCAAATGATGGTATTATCTAATTTCTTTTCTTTTCTTTTTGTATCAGTTTTTGAAAATAAATATGTCTAACATTGTATTTGAAAAAAATAAATACTATACTGATTCCATAATTCCTAAAATTTGGGGTGATTGCTTTTTAAGGGTGTCACTACTTATTTACATTGTTAAAAATAAAATGATTAAGATATTTGTATATCTTTTATTGGTGTTACAACTTAATAACACATTTGAAAATCTAAATTATCAGTTTTCATTATCCAATATTAACTAAAAAAGAAATATTTTATAAATTTCTCCAAATAAAGTAAAAAATTTTCATTTTCTTTTAACCTTATTTACAATCTTATAAGATAGACTTAAAATAATCAGTTATTATACTGAGTTCAGTGTATTGCAATTGTAGATGAGAGGCAAGCCATCTAATCAGAGCATTGGGATAAGTAGTAGCCCATAAAATTCCACTGTAGGATGTCTTTTAAGCAAGTGAATTTGGTATTTTACATTTCTTGATTGTAGTATTTAATTGCAATACAAGCTTTTGAATATTTAGATATTGATATAGTTTATTTAAATTATTTTTAATCACTAACATCGGTAATGGCAATCTCTTGATTTATATCTTGCTAATGAACAAAATGTAAAGTGTTCTTGTGTGTGGAGATATATATAATCTCAGTATTTTCTTTCCTGGATAAATATAGTGTATCTTTCAGATGCCAATTTTTTTATTTTTTTTTATTGTAGGAGCTAAATCTTGAACTCACAAATTATTAATTAGACATTTGATTTAATGTTTTAATTTTGCTAACTATATTTCAGAATTGTTGATATAAAAAAAATGTAGATAAAAACTTTTTTCAGTGATAATTATATTTTTTCAATCTTGATGTAAAATTCCTATATTCTCTACTGGATTCATTACATTTTCTAATATGATTAAATAAGTAACACATTTTTACATAAAATTGTCACAAGCAATTTCTATAAATGAGTTTGTAAATAACATTTTGTGTGATGGAAAAAAAATTTCAGTTAAAGTATTTTATTTCAGTATATTTTTATATTAAAACATGATTGATTATATTGTATATTTCTTGTGTATTAAAGGGGAGCTGGTTATCAACTATTTCATTAGTTTTGGTTTCTCTTTTTGCATGTGTTTACATCACTTGCAGGTCATCTTAAAACCATTTACTTTTGTCCTTTTCTTAATTTGTCCCTTTCCACAATTGCTGCTTTTTTTTTTTTCTGTTTTTCATTATAACTTCTTATTGCCTGAAATTTTCTGAAAATGAAGTGGGATACATTATATCCTTTACTCTGCTACTGATGCCACATGAAAATAATTCTTCTTTCCTCTTACTTACAGTACTTATTTCTATATCTACAGGCGTCCCTAACCATTCAGCCTCCATACAGGTACCAGATGTTTTGTATTTTTATTTATATTTTTGCATTTGTTTGTTTTGTTTTTAGCTATAGCTGTTCTTGGCTGTTTCCCCAGCAGTGAACATTCGTAAAAGTTATTACTTTGCATGCTTGTTCATAAAATATGACTACTTATTAAAAAATGAATAAATTCTGCAACTAATGCTACTCTTTTCTTGAAGCTGTCTGCTTCTCTAAGTTTAAAAACCTAACCATTTAATCTTCCTCAAAATTCCATATGTAAGAATTTTAAGATATATCTATAAACAAAGGAAATTATGTGCACACACACACACTTTAATAAGAATATATATTTTTATTGAAAACTTTAATGAAATATTGATTCTAATTTAAATACTATAGTGTATAACTTTCACTATGAATTCTGATATTACGAGGGAAATTTTTGTCATCTCATTCATTATATTTGATAAAAAAAAGACTTAATATTTATTTTCAAGTTGCTAACATTTTAAATCGTATATATTTAGCATTTACTTTCTGTGGTATTTTCTGAGTGTTACAATAAGTAAATTTTATCTATCTATATTTCTGAGATCAGGTATTGTAATTGTTTGCACTATTTACATTGTTCGGACTGTTGTCCTCATCTTTGTTGCCATATTCACAATGTTTCGGCTGTTGTACACACCGGCCTTCTTCAGGTGATTGGAATTTCGAACTGAACCCTTTATTTTGTCCACCAGGGTAGATTGTTCTAGTTCCACCTGCCATGCCTCTTCTGGATGTCTCAGTTATATCCCTTTAATTCAACTCTGTAAGTTTTTTTTCCCACCACTGCAGTAGCCAGGTACTGAACTCACAACTCTTTGGGTCAAGATACTGGATCCAACCAATGCTTTTATCCACTGGATCAGTGGATAAAAGCAACAGTCTGAACAATGTAAATAGTGTAAATAAGTAAATTTTAATACACTTAATGGTAATTTATGTATTGTGGCATTCATTTGGAATATTTCTCTATAGATTTTTGTTTTATGTCATATCATATGAAAATATACTATTAGTTTGCAACAAGATTCTTGAATGCTGAGAATTGGGTGCATTGATAAAGTGTTGTTTGAATTTAATTATCTTTTTTTTTTTTTTCTAAGTCTTCACCTCAAGCAAGGCAACAAAGCCACTAACATGTAGGGCTTACTAAGCATGAAAGAGAATAAAGATACATTAGTCAGTGATAAGAAAATAATGATTGACCTTGCATGTAAATTTTTGAAGATCAAGCTTGAATGGAAAGCAAGAAGCTGGAAGAGATAAGTGTGAAGGGAAAAAACTTTTAGCATAGAATTTATGGTTGCTTCTAGCCATTTCAACTGTAAAATGATGAGACCTTGCTGCCAATCTAGTGCTACACTTAAATTCAAAGAGTCTAGGTATCATAAAGGAAAGTTCATCAGAACAATTACCATGAAGGTATTTATAGAAAAAACACAGGGAAGCTACATTATGGCAGTTGAAAAGTGATTAAAGTTTAGATGTCAGGTCCAATAACATTGCAGAATCTTCTTTGGATTTTATCAAGGATCTCTAAATATATAAAAGAGCACCAAACCATATGTGGTAGCAATATTCTAAACATGGGTGAATAAATATGTAAGATAGTCGGATGAGAAAAATTGTTTGGCACGACACAGAGAACCAATTTTCCTAGCAGCAGACCTAGCAATGATTCAATATAATCTTTCTACTTCATATCAATGAAAATGTTAGCCTGAGAATGCAGAATAAGTCAGTTTCCTGGAGGTTAGTATTAGTCATGCTAATGAAAGGTCTTCTCTCAGACAATTAATAGAACAGTTTTGTTTTAGAGGTATTAAAATTAACAAGCCAGTCCTTACCCCAGTTAGCAGTAGGTTATTCTTTAGATTAGCTGCCAATTTGACCATATCAAATTAATGAGACTTGCTATTAAGACAAGAGTAAATAGTTATCATTAGCATAGATACCGAGTTGAGAATTGATGCCATTAGGAAGGTTGTTGATGAAAATTAGAAACAATGTCAGTCCAGGGGTAAAACTTTGTGGAAGATCTGCATTAATGTAAAAAGAATTAGAAGGATAGCCATTCAAGGCAACTTTCATTTCTCAATTTGATAAGAAAGATTAAATCAGTTCAAAGATTTGTCCCAAAATACCATAATCTTTCAATTTGCAAAGAACACCAATATGCCAAACCCTGTTAAATGCATTAGCTCGAGCATCACTGTTCTTATCTAAATATTCTAGATAAACTCTTTCAACAATAATCATTAATACTTCAGTATTTGACCTAGAGAAGTGTAAACCCTATTGCTTATCTGAAAGAAGACCTTGCATGGTGAGATGATTAACCAATTTTGAGTTGTCCAAAAAGTTTGTTCAGTTTCAGTAAAAATGACATTCAATTTTTATATTAACTTTATTGAATAAGACACTTACCATTTTATTTCACTGTCTTCTGCCATTATTCAGGCAACTTTATAATCCCATCCTCCAAGAATACTTTTTATTTCTCAGCAAAAAAAAAAATTCTATCTATGTATTTTGAAGTCCCAAAGAATTAAAAAAAATATTTGAGAATTTTGGGAAGATAAAAATAAATGGTAATATGAAGTTGTATATGGTTACTATGATAATGAGTGAAAATATCCCAGTTAGAATGTAACAAATTTTGCTTGATCACCAAAGAAACATACAGTTTAGTTTTATCTTTTCTATTAACTATTTAGAATCAATAAACAAAAATATACCAGTTTTATCAAATTTGATAGCTATCACAATACAGTGAAAAGCAATCTTTTTGAATGAAGTTAGTTAACACTAAATACTATTGTAGTATTGTATACAAATGAGATAGACAAGTATAAAGAGAGAACAACTGGTGAACATAAGGGCATTACTTAGCAAACCCGTTTGCTAAATGTAATGCAGAGAACTGTGCTACAACTGCTACTACACAGAGAGATATACCAAACATAACAATGGCATTGATGATAGGATCCTTAAATTCACTGGATGACCCAGAACACATAGAAACATAGATAAGAACTTTTGCTGCATTTGCAAGAGTGAAAAAATTAAGACACACAAAGACCAACAGAGGAGAGAACGAGATAATGGATTTATTTCTTGCTATCACTTGGTCTAAAGCTGTAGAAGAAAATTTTGACAATGTGTTACCCAAGCGAATTAGAAGAAATGACATTTGAAGAAATTGTTAAAATTATAAAAAAGAACATAAGACCAAAGAAAAGATTGGTCATTGCTGAAAAAACCAAGTTTTTGAAGACAAGACAAGTACCCAATGAGTCCATTATACAATACTTACATAGATTGAAAGAACAAGCCAAGTATTGTGAATTTGAAAAGTTGGGAGTTTAGGAAATGACTATAGAAGACAAATAATTCTCAGAATAATTGAAGGCTTGCAAGACCAAAACCACAAACAAAAAAACTGGAATGTCTATAGAGTAATAGCATGAATTTGGAAGCTAGTGTTGAGTTTTTACAACAATTAGAGTTGATTAGAGAATTTAATCAACCAAAAGAAGAATTTGAGACTTACAAGATGAGCATGACCAAATCCATCATTAAATGTAGATATTGAGGAAAAAATCATGAGAGAGACAAGTACAAATTTCCAACTCTAAGAAAAATATGCTCAAATTGCAAAAAGGAGGTCATTTTCAGAAGTATGCTAATACAAAAAGAAAATAGAAAGATAGAAAGAGTACAAAAGGTACAAAGCCCCTCCGAAGAAGTGGAAATATTTACAATGAATACACAAAAAAGGAGAAAAAATAAGGATAAATGGCCAAATATTTAACATGCAAGTTGATACAGGCAGTGAAGCCACGTTGATACCAAAAAATTTCTGTATAAAATTAGGACAACCTAAATTTAAAAAAAGAAAAAGAAAAATCCAATTAAAGCAATTTGATGGAATGACTATAAAAATAATGGGTACTATTACAGTTGTAGAATGTGAAAAAGATCAAGGATTACTAGGAAAGTTGTATTAAAAGTAGATACAAGACTAATCAATTCCATGAAAGCAGAAGAAAATGAAATAGGATTATTGAAAGGCTATAAAGCAAGCATTTGACTAGAAAATTATCACCAAAAATATATAGTCAAGAAAAGTTCCAATTCATATCCTATCTTTGGTAATAGCCAAATTAAACAAAATGATACAAGGCATACTAGAAAGAGTAACTCAAGGTGGTAGCAATTGGGCATCACTGATAGTAGCGATAAAGAAACCTGATGGAGATTTAAGGATTTGTGGTGATTACAAGATAGGGGTAAATCACCAGATATGTTCAGACTCTTTTCCTTTGCCAAATATTGAAACTGTGAGCCACGAGTTAGCAAAAATGGAACACTTTGCAAAAATTGATCTCAAGGCAGCATACAACCAAATAGAAATTGACGAGAAATTCAAGGAAATCACCATGATAAACACCCCTATAGGCTTACTAAGATGGACTCGTCTACTGTTTTGGATAAAGACTTTGAACCATATTTTTCAAAAAGCAATCGAAAAAGTCTTATTAGGAAAAGTAAAAAAATATAATAATATACCAGGATGGTATGTGTGTAGGGGCAAGAACTAAAGAAGAATTAAAATATAAAACAGAGTAAATTTTAGTGAGATTAAAAAAGGCAGGCATGACTGTAAACAAAGACAAATGTAATTTTGACTTTAAGATGTCATATTTAGGATATCAAATATCAAAAGAAGGCATATCATCCAATGATAGATTAACAAAGAAAATAACAGAAATAGCTGTTCCAATGAATAAAAAGGAATTAGAATTCTTTTTGGGGGCTGATAAATTTTTATAGTAAATACATACCAAGATACAGTGACATAATAGAGCCATTTGCAAAATTATGCAAAAAAACAATGAATTTAACTGTACACAAAAGCAAATTACCACTTTTGAAACACTAAAGAAAATACTGAGGAACAAACCAATAATAAATGT